GTACCCACATGTAAAGTATATTTACATGATGCCACAAAATTGTTTTATCATGTGAAATGCCATATAGAAAATGGTTTTAAATGTTTGGAGTGTGAACAGATTTTCTCATGGTGGAAACCTTTAACTGGACATTTGTGGAGAATCCATAAAATTGATATGGAATTATATGCTTGTGACAAATGTGATTATAAAACATTTAGTTTGGGAAAGTTAAATAATATTCATAGACCCATCCACAGTGAAGCAAAACCATTCATTTGTGATGTGTGCAATAAAGGATTCAAGAATTCCAAACAATTGAGAAACCATAAAGTGAAACATAAAGATTTTTTAAACAAAACTATACAGCTATGTGTAGAATGCAACAAAATGTTCTCTGATAGAAGACAGTTACGGATCCATATGGACAGTGTCCATAAGAAACTGAAGCCATTTCTATGCAGCTACTGTGGTTACAAAGGGGCATCAAAAAGTTCCCTTAGGATGCATATGCGACAGCATACAGGTAAGCTGCAATTATTTTTATTCCCTTTGAAGAAATTAATCTGTTAACTAATTTATTTTGATTTTTTTTATAACTAATTGATTTTTACTTTTGAATAAAAAGAGTGCTCCAATTGATGATTGGTTGCATTCTATTTTAAAATTTGTTTAGACTAGAATGGTTTTTAAATAATTTAAAAACTATTTGTCATCAACAAAATTTGACAAAAAAAAACAATTACATATTTTTATTTCAAACTATGTCATTACATAATCATTATTTGCATATTAAAATACATCATATATAGATATTGTCTATATCTACATGACTATTGACATTACATTTTAGATATCTATTTAAAACTGCTTGCAATATATAGATGATGAATAAAAATTTACACAATTTGGATATTTACAGGGGAAAAACCGTTTTCTTGCGAGCAGTGTAGCTACACAACAGCAGATCATAACTCTTTGCGCAGGCACAAACTAAGACACACTGGACAAAAACCATACAAATGCGCCTACTGTGATTATGCCTGTATACAGAGCAGTACATACAAAGTGCATCTGAAAACAAAACATCCAGGCCTAGAAAAAAATTTGTTGTTTTCATGTTCTGATTGCCAATTTCGCACCGTTAATAAAGACATGTTCCTAACGCACGTCTCTACCATGCACCAAAAAACTGTCCTTTTGTGTCTCTAGAAAAATTGAATTAAACAGTAAAGAAAAAAGAAATATGTTAAGTAACCCTTTTTTTTTTATTTTGTTGATCTTTCAAAAGCAGACACAACATTGATACTGTTTTTAAATTGTTTTATGTCGATCATTTTCCAACTGTCCTGCGAGCTAAATTTCGGATTTATCGGATCTGGGTTCGCGTAAATATTCGTTCCTTTATTGGGACCCACAATGAAAATCAAATTACCCTCGTAGGCTGCTACATATTTTTGAAAGGCTATTTCGTCGTTGAAATAGCAAAACAGCAGTGCTTCGTCATTATTGAAGAGTTTTGTTTGCGGTAGTAATTTAGGAAAAAGTAAAGGGATAAATTTGGTTCCACTGTACTTACTGTTCCACCACGAATCATTTATTTCGATACCTCGTACGTTTAAACCTAGAAATTAAAAATTATTGTATTATGCTAACTTTTTATATTACATAAAAAAGAATCTCTCATAAAAGTTGGGTATTAATGATTACTTTTACTTACTGGTACACTGTCCTAGTAACCATTCGAAGAGACCGCATCCGCATCCCACTGACACAACACCATTTAATTTTTTCTCTAGTATTAATTTGCCAATGAAATGTAACTCTTCTTCAGAAGGCCAGGCCCACATTAGCCTTCTAGCATTTGTTATATTATAATAATTAATGTCGATGCTTAAAATACCTCGCCAGTCATTGTGGATATAAAAAGATAAAATTGTATTTTCAAAAGTGTTATCTTCCTCCTGCCCATTCATATTAAATAGCATTATTTCATTAAAACATTTAATAATGGATGCATTCGTTTACATCATCATATTGGAATATTTATTTATAGAATTAAATCCTGCCACTTACCTTGCATAATAGTTTTATTTATCTCCTTATTGATTTTATGCATACTTTTTGGACAAATGCCCAAAAGCTTCCACTCCACATTATTAAACTCAAGAAGCAGTTGCTGTTCTTTATTTTATACAGTTATTATTATTTTTATTTATATGTAGATGCAAATGTAAATTAGCAGATACAGAAAAATGCTAAAGCAGTGCTGAATATTGTACTCAAGCCCACTTATCTTATTGCCATGAAAAATTTTACACATGTATTAATAATTAAAAATATTGATAATATGATAAGCTAAATTAAATAAAGAATTGTAAAGTCATTAAAGCAGATTTTTTGCAAGATTTATTTTAGAAGACGAGAAAAAAGTAGATACATTTTCAAAAAGTGTTTATTTATATACCATTATTACAATTAATATTCCGTTTAAATGTGGGGACTAACTATTATTTTATATTGGGCATAGTTCTTAAAAGAATATTAAGTTGCTTGTGGCTTAGATTAGTGTCACCAGGTGTCAGAATTCCTTTGGTTTCTTTTTCCTTTTTTATTATTTTCCTTTTTCTGCTTTCTGCATAACATTTTTGAAAAGTTTTTATTTCTTGAGGGCACGAGGCTTCATTAAATTCATTATTTTTCAAACAAGCAAACAATAACGACATTTCGTAAAGGCAACACACTTCCTTAGCTTTGTCACCTTTTCCAGAGACTGTAATTTTCAGTTTTAAGGGCAAAATCTCTTGAAAGGGTACCGGTTCCGTAGAATTTTTTCTAGCTGCATACAAAATAGATATACCCCTCATTTCTCTTCATAAAAGAACTTCTCGTGCTTGTTCAAGCAATTATTACTAACATAGATTACTAACATCTAGGTTATGTGGTATCTATGGTTTACACTAACTGATACCATAGACAAAATGCCACTAACTAGCGTTTAAATAGTGTTACATCGTACGATAACCGTAAGGTTATAATGAATTATTAGGTTGTTTTAGAGACTCTCACTTTTATGATTATTATTACTGCTGCTAATTTGTATATTTATCATTACAAGTATCATTTACCTCTTAAAGGTAAGCTTAATGTATTCAAAAATTTAAGAAAACTGTCACGATCGTCTTATATATGACCCATTGATTAACGACAGCCATAAATGTCTTTTATGAAACGGCATCGATATCAGATTTTAGTTTTTCTCTTTTGAAGTAATTGTTTTTTGTATCATGATAAATACCTTATTGATTATATAAAATAATATATTTTTTTATCGAATTTAAGTTTACCCATCTTTCAGTCGGACTATGCAGGAGACACTCCCTTATCTTATGATAGTATATATTTCTCTAATCTATGAGTGTTCATATCTATGGTTCATATACGTGTAGCATAACCATAGTATCACTAAATTTAATTTTAATTTATTTTCAGATATAATAAATATGGTGAGAGTTGTTCAGTGACGCATACTTTTGTAGATTTTAATATAATTATGTTGCAGCCTAAAAAGAAAAAATTTGTTAACAAGAAATGCTCCGTTACTTTTTATTTGGGGCATCGCAGTCAACAAGATCCCCTCATTGCAGATGAAAAAGCTCCTCAGCGTGTTCTTGTGGAAGTATCGAACAAAACTAAGGTAAACCATACGTGTCTCTCATGAAATAACATTTTAATAAATATAAATGAATAAATAATTGTGAATGTCTAGAACAATGTATGTAGTCACTACATTGAAGCTTTAGCACTACTCTTTAAGAAGTTTTTTTTCTATTTGCTCTACTGATCCTTATCGACTTGATTGTGATTTATAGTTGTATTTCTACTATATTTCTGTTTAATTTTTAGTATAAATTTTAGTTGTTGCTGTTACTCGTGAGCAATTTATACCTCTTACAAGTATATCAGCTTGAAACTGTTACCTTATGAAATAAATAAATAATAATACAAAATAAATGTGTTGACACATATGTTCTATAGGTGGATCAAAATAAACAAGTTGAAGAGCAGCATAAATATGGAATTTATTTTGATGATGATTATAATTATTTGCAACATCTAAAGAGCAGCAATGAAGAAAATGAAAAGTTTGTTAACATCAGGGCTAGCTGCAGTGAACAAAAAATACAACTTCCAAGTTCCGTGTTTGCTACTGGTATACAAGAAGATATTGGTTTATTACTAAAAGCAGCTCCGCGTTGTGGTAATGTGTATTATATATTTTTTTTGTAAATATCTCCATTAGTATGCTAACCTCTGGTTTTGTTGAAATTAAGAAGGTTGTGCCTGAAAACCATTCTTTACCTTAGTTTTGAGGGTTGAAAAAAAAAATAAATAAAAAATCAAACTATAGCTAAACGAATCAGTCAAAAATAAGGTATTGTATTGTATATATTCGACCACTAGTTTCTTTTACTGATGCAATTGTTGCTTATACAATTGGTAAATTTACTGAAATAGGTATAAAACACAATTATTAATCATAACTGCAAGGAGGTATTAGAAATACCTGTACGCAATAGTGGAACCAGGTACCATGTTTTATTTTATTTTTTTGAGTTACCCTATTTATATCTAACTGATAATCATTTTGGTTTTAATTGAATAAGTGGAGAGCATACTAATTTAGACATTTCCCTATTTTTTTATACAGTTTCTTCATTTTCACATAGATACTTGTTAGATTAGATTAAGAAACTGTTGTTAAATAGGGTTTTAAAAATTAATTTGTTTAGGACCTCACCCTGATTTGGATCCAGACATTGTTGCAGCATTAGATGATGATTTTAATTATGAAGATCCAGACAACATACTAGAAGACAATTTTATAGAATTGGCAAATAAAAATAAAAATGAAATTAATCCAAAGGAAAATTTTAGCAGTGAATTTGAGACCTTTGATGAAACAAATTATGTAAAAGAGCATTGTTTTATGAATAAGTATGATGACAATAAATCTCGGTTCACTGAATATTCCATTAGCAGTTCCACTATTACTAGAAATCAGCAGTTAGAATTGTTGGATAAAAAATTTGAACAAGTAAGTTCATTGTTTGTTAATTTATTTATTTAAATTTATTTTACTTTACTTAGGCATTTGCTAACTACGAAGATGACAATATAGGACCATTAGACTGTTATGAAATCGAAGGGTTTGTTCCTTATGACACTTCCTTATTACTGCAGTACTCGAACAAACCTCAACAGGGAAATTATTACAAAATACCTTCACACAGCATTAAGAGATTGTCCAACATTGCAGAGCTACAAAATGAAAATAGTGACAGTGAAGATTTAATTTCAGTAGAAGTTAACAAAAACTTAAAATGGGATTGTGAATCTATTTTGAGTACTAACTCAAACATTTACAATAGACCCAAAATCATTATGGAACCATCTAAGGTAATTTATTTATTTATTAAGATGATAAATGGGCGTGACCCCTTTTATATAAAAGCTCGGGATAAAATCTCCTAAGCTTGTAATACACTGAATTAATGTATAAGAAATCACAGGAAATTACTTAATATAATTAGGCTAAATTGGTTAAGTAATAATACAAAATATAATGGAAGTGTGTCAATTTATTTATTTATTCATCCTTATAATTAAACAAAACAATTTATTTTCAGCAGAAAATCAAGATTAATTTACATACAGGAATGCCTGTTAACGTTTTTGGAAAAAATAAATTAACTCAGAATAATCTAATTCAGTTAAACAAACAAAATAATGACTTGGGTAATGATTGCAATACTGTATCATCTGTTATGTCGACATTGTCACAGTTGTCAGTCAGACCCAAAGGTGAAGGTACAGAAGACAGAAAGCAAAGGAAACAATTGTTGAAAGACTATAGGAAAGAAAGAAGAAAAGAGAAGAAAAACAACAGAGTGGCATTTAAAGTTGAATGTCAGCGTCAGTCGAAAGTTGCCGTTGCTACAGCAAACCATTTTGCTGGTAATACAATTCTTCATTAGGCTAAAATGTTGTTAATTTTGTCCCAGCAAAAGAGTTAAATTAATGTAAACATTATCTTTTGATTAAATAATTATTGTAGTTGTTAAAACGTAGATTCAATTTCAATTTATTTCAAAACAGACGCTAATATATACAATGTACGTATAAATACAAAAAAAAATGTAAAATGCATCGAAAATTAATTTTTAGCATATTTTACACTTTTCTTTCAATTTATAAAGAAATACGAAAAAGAACAAAACAAAATATGATTAAATTGAAATAAATATAAAGAAGACTGTGGCGTATTGATAAACAAAAATAAATGTCTTACCCAACTAACCACAACAGTTTAAAAACAAACAAATATGATTAATGAAGCGTAAATTGCAGTCCATGTAATATCCCAGTACCTGTTGAAAACAAAAAATATTACAATTAAGTATTTTTCCTTATTATTTTTTATTTATGTTACATAAAAGCCTTACATAATAAAAAGGAGGATGCACATGTAACTGTTAATTATTAGTAGAAGCAAAAGTTCCAACAACTATTAGATTTTTGTAATCCCAGCCCCTATAATAAAAGATTTTCAAGATTACTAATGCAGTAAAAATGAGAGTGGAGACTACTCACCAGTTACTTCTGGCCCAACAGACCTTCTACGTGGTGTTTCTTAACAAATCTTGTAAGACTAATAATATTTCTGCCCCTACAACAAAGGAGACATTTAGATTTAGAAAATTACTAAGTGCTATACTAAAAGGATTTTAAAAATGAAATTTTACATCAAGAATACAGTTGAAAAATGTTATAATATAAAATAACATGAGGGACATTGAGGGAGCTCCACGCAAGGACAAAATGGACCGAAGCAACTGGTGAGCATTTTGCAACCCTTATTCTTAAAATCCTGCTTTTACTTTTATTTGAACTAGTCCTTTCCGCTTATCAGTCACGGTAAGCTCGAAACTGTTAGCGCCATTGCTTCCAGCGTTCGAAATTCACTTTTGTGAAGAATTTGTTTAATCATTTTCCTAGTGTTAGAAATTGTTTAAAAAATTAAATTCAAAGGAATTTGTTTTTAAAATGATAGGCAACACATCGTACATTGCAGCATAGGCAATTGCATATCCAAACTACGTAAAATGTATAACAATTTTGAAAGTTAATTTCTCTTTCACTATAGGGCCTAAGGTTGTTAAAANTATACAATTGGTAAATTTACTGAAATAGGTATAAAACACAATTATTAATCATAACTGCAAGGAGGTATTAGAAATACCTGTACGCAATAGTGGAACCAGGTACCATGTTTTATTTTATTTTTTTGAGTTACCCTATTTATATCTAACTGATAATCATTTTGGTTTTAATTGAATAAGTGGAGAGCATACTAATTTAGACATTTCCCTATTTTTTTATACAGTTTCTTCATTTTCACATAGATACTTGTTAGATTAGATTAAGAAACTGTTGTTAAATAGGGTTTTAAAAATTAATTTGTTTAGGACCTCACCCTGATTTGGATCCAGACATTGTTGCAGCATTAGATGATGATTTTAATTATGAAGATCCAGACAACATACTAGGACAATTTTATAGAATTGGCAAATAAAAATAAAAATGAAATTAATCCAAAGGAAAATTTTAGCAGTGAATTTGAGACCTTTGATGAAACAAATTATGTAAAAGAGCATTGTTTTATGAATAAGTATGATGACAATAAATCTCGGTTCACTGAATATTCCATTAGCAGTTCCACTATTACTAGAAATCAGCAGTTAGAATTGTTGGATAAAAAATTTGAACAAGTAAGTTCATTGTTTGTTAATTTATTTATTTAAATTTATTTTACTTTACTTAGGCATTTGCTAACTACGAAGATGACAATATAGGACCATTAGACTGTTATGAAATCGAAGGGTTTGTTCCTTATGACACTTCCTTATTACTGCAGTACTCGAACAAACCTCAACAGGGAAATTATTACAAAATACCTTCACACAGCATTAAGAGATTGTCCAACATTGCAGAGCTACAAAATGAAAATAGTGACAGTGAAGATTTAATTTCAGTAGAAGTTAACAAAAACTTAAAATGGGATTGTGAATCTATTTTGAGTACTAACTCAAACATTTACAATAGACCCAAAATCATTATGGAACCATCTAAGGTAATTTATTTATTTATTAAGATAATAAATGGGCGTGACCCCTTTTATATAAAAGCTCGGGATAAAATCTCCTAAGCTTGTAATACACTGAATTAATGTATAAGAAATCACAGGAAATTACTTAATATAATTAGGCTAAATTGGTTAAGTAATAATACAAAATATAATGGAAGTGTGTCAATTTATTTATTTATTCATCCTTATAATTAAACAAAACAATTTATTTTCAGCAGAAAATCAAGATTAATTTACATACAGGAATGCCTGTTAACGTTTTTGGAAAAAATAAATTAACTCAGAATAATCTAATTCAGTTAAACAAACAAAATAATGACTTGGGTAATGATTGCAATACTGTATCATCTGTTATGTCGACATTGTCACAGTTGTCAGTCAGACCCAAAGGTGAAGGTACAGAAGACAGAAAGCAAAGGAAACAATTGTTGAAAGACTATAGGAAAGAAAGAAGAAAAGAGAAGAAAAACAACAGAGTGGCATTTAAAGTTGAATGTCAGCGTCAGTCGAAAGTTGCCGTTGCTACAGCAAACCATTTTGCTGGTAATACAATTCTTCATTAGGCTAAAATGTTGTTAATTTTGTCCCAGCAAAAGAGTTAAATTAATGTAAACATTATCTTTTGATTAAATAATTATTGTAGTTGTTAAAACGTAGATTCAATTTCAATTTATTTCAAAACAGACGCTAATATATACAATGTACGTATAAATACAAAAAAAAATGTAAAATGCATCGAAAATTAATTTTTAGCATATTTTACACTTTTCTTTCAATTTATAAAGAAATACGAAAAAGAACAAAACAAAATATGATTAAATTGAAATAAATATAAAGAAGACTGTGGCGTATTGATAAACAAAAATAAATGTCTTACCCAACTAACCACAACAGTTTAAAAACAAACAAATATGATTAATGAAGCGTAAATTGCAGTCCATGTAATATCCCAGTACCTGTTGAAAACAAAAAATATTACAATTAAGTATTTTTCCTTATTATTTTTTATTTATGTTACATAAAAGCCTTACNAAGTTAAGTATGTACCTATATGTGATGTACATATTATAATATTATGTGAATCTTTTAAGAAGCAATAAACAATTGTTTCCTAAACTATGTAAAAATGCACGAGAGGAAAAGTTTTCATTCCCAAAAGTCGTTTTATTAAAGTGTGATATACTGATATTGCACTAATAGGAGGAATTACTTTCATAATGGACAGAAGTAACCGGTTTTGCATTTTCCACCCTTCATTTTCAAAATCTTTCTTTTACTTTTATTTTAATTATGCACTTTTAAACGTTTAATTTCTACCTTAGTATAGGATCTAAGGTTGTCAAAATTATATGAGGGACGTAGGAGAAGCCCCACGCAAGGACAAAATGGACTGTAGTAACCGGTGATAATTTTGCAACCCTAATTCTTAAAATCTTTCCTTTACTTTTATTTTAATTATGCAATTTTGAAAGTACTGCTGCTATTTTAACTAGTTCTTCCCACTTATCAGTCACGATAAGCTCAAAACTGTAAGCACCATTACTTCCAGTGGTCGAACTTCACTTTTGTTAACAAGTTGTTTAATCATTTTCCTTGTGTTACAAATTGTTTAAAAAAGAAATGTTTGTAAATGGGCAGGTAACACATCGTACACCTCAGCATAGTAAATCGCATATCCCAACTGCGTGATTTATAAAACAATTTTGAAAGTTATGTTTCTCCTTTATAATAGGGGCTAAAATTGCGAAAATCACATGATTGGCGTATAAAGAGTCCCACGGAGGGACAAAATATACAGAAGTAACCGGTGAGCATTTTGCACCCCTTATATTTAAAATCTTCTTTCTTTTACTTTTATTTTAATTAAGCAATACTGAAAGTTTAGTTTCTCCCTTACTATAGGGTCTAAGATTGTCAAAATCACATTAGGCACGTAGAAGGAGCCCCACGCAAGGACAATAAGGGCAGAAGTAGCCGGTGAGTATTTTGCACCTTTCATTTTTAAAATCTTCTTGTTTTTATTTTTATTTTAGTTAAGCAATTTAAAACTTTAGTTTCACTCTTGCAATATGGTTTAAGATTGTAAAAATAACATGAGGGACATAGAGCTAGCCCCACGCAAGGACAATCTGGATAGAAGCAACTGGTGAGCATTTTGCACCTGTCATTTTTAAAATTTTCTTGTTTTCACGTTTATTTTTATTAAGCAATATTGAAAGCTTAATTTTTCCCTTACTGTAGGGCCTAAGACTGTCATAATCACACGAGGGACGTAGAAAGAGCCCCACGCATGGACAATATGGACTGAAGTAACCGGTGAGAATTTTGCACCTTTCAGTTTTAAAATCTTCTTGTTTTTATTTTTATTTTAGTTAAACAATTTAAATCTTTAGTTTCACCCTTACAATATGGTCTAAGATTGTAAAAACAACATGAGGGACATAGAGCTACCCCCACGCAAGGACAATATGGATAGTAGCAACTGGTGAGCATTTTGCAACCCTTATTCTTAAAATCCTCCTTTTGCTTCTATTTTAACTAGTTCTTCTCACATATCAGTCACGGTAAGCTCGAAACTGTTAGCGCCATTGCCTCCAGTGGTCGAAATTCACTTTTGTGAACAATTTGTTTAATCATTTTCCTAGTGTTAGAAATTGTTTAAAAAATTAAATTCAAAGGAATTGTTTATAAAATGGTAGGCAACACATCGTACACTGCAGTATAGGCAATTGTATATCCTAACTGCGTATTATATAAAACAATTTTGAAAGTTAAGTTTCTGCTTAATAATTTGGTCTAAAATTGTGAAAATCACATGATGCAAGTAGAAAGAGCCCCACGCATGGATAATATGCACAGAAGTAACCGGTGAACATTTT